GTGTGCATGCATGAGTGATGTCTGCAGGACTGGGAAGCCGATGTGCTACTGGTAACAGGATCTGCCGCCGAATGTGTTACTTGCTGCTTGGAAGCATCATACAATCATCCGAAGCCGATTACTTTTGCCAGAGACCACTTCTAAGGCTGCAATATGCATACGCCAAAGGGGTGAACTTTGTCATCGAGAACCCCAGTTCAACATTGCTTTGGCAATACTCGCCGCTCCGGGAACTTCGGCCAACATTTAGCAACATCGCTATCAGCTATGCTTGATGTTGGGTGTGAGTCTGTCTGCAACTGAGAAGCTGCTGCTGAAGATGAAGTTCATGAAAGTCACCGTACACCTGGGGTGTTATGGGTCAGCAACTCCGAAGGCCGCCCCGGGCCCAGGACTGCAAATATCCTCAAGTCGAATATACTTTGTTAATGAGTAGCTCGTGACCCCACGACATCAGAGCAATGTGTGATCTCTCTCAGGTGACGTTGGTTGGAAACTGGGCAGGTCTTCGAGCTCTTCGCAGAACCCTGAATAAAGAGCGCAGGCCGGACAGTGACCTCCAACTGCACAGCACACTCGGCCGTCTTGATAGATCACAAGGAGTTTTGCTTCTACGGTAGTATATCAAACGTACAACAAGCCTGATCCATGACAGGAGCCATCTCCGACGAGTTCGAAGCTTTCTCAAGATCCAGACCACCATCCGTTGGAGAAATGCCAAGGGACAGTCCCGATGTGCTGGGACCCCAATATCGCAGTCAAGATGCTGCACAATCGCTGTTGCTCGTCTGCCCATGCACCACGCATTCACTCGGCACAGGCCGGGGGTCGAGATCTGGAAGCTTCAAAATCCTATCCTGCTGGCTTCGGCTTCGAGGCTCCGACTGCTTGGGTGGGGTCTAAACTAATTAGTTATTCGGATGTAGTCTATACATATACTCCATGACGTCGTTCGCTTCAGTCTACAATTTGACTGATAAGATATGCATCGAACCCCTCTTGGTGCCCATCACCTCCACCCAATATTTAAGATGATGCATTTAAGTATATATAACCAACGACGACATAGGAACTTGGAGGATCGGCGATAAATGTTGCTTCTGGTTTGACCATATAAGCTGCTTGGCCGTAGGTTTCTCTTGTTAGATCACTTAGTTGCACTGCATGGAGACCATCTATATCTATGGACTTAAGTCCAATAATATAGATGTCCATAAATATAGATGGTCTCCATGCAGTGCAACTAAGTGATCTAACAAATTAGGTGAAGCCAAACAACCCGACAACCTATGGTCCATCAGTTATGTGTAGTAATGGCTAGCTAGCCCATTAATGCGAATGATCTTCGAAGTCTATATCGTCCCATTAAGATCGAGCAAAAAGCTGGCTGATATACATAGCATCCCGTGCTTTCCAGGTGGCCCAGATCTTGGAGTCGCAGAAGCTTCAGCCGAGAATCCGTGCCGATGATGATCTTGTATTCCAGGATACCTCAGATTGCTCTTCGGACAGTGGCTTGGAGGACGTTGTGTGAGGCTTCGTGCTGCTGGCTGGCTGCACACATGTTGTAATATGTTACAAGATCCATGGCAGCCATCTCATGAGTGTGCAGCTAGTGCAGCTGTGCAGCTTATAGCAGATTTCAAGCGTGGGCCGGCGGCCTGAGAATGAAAGAGTGTGCAGCTAGTGCAGCTGTGCAGCTTATAGCAGATTTCAAGCGTGGGCCGGCGGCCTGAGAATGAAAGTTTGCTGTGCCGGCACTTGCAGCAGTCATATGTCGTTTGCCAGACAGAGAGAGCGCACAGACAGAAACACGAAACGAGAGAGAGAGAGAGAGAGAGGCTACAAAGAGAGCTGGGGCGAATAAGGAAGGGAGCTATGGCCGGGAGGAGTGCAAGGATCAATCGAAGTAGGGAGGAGATCGAGGGAGAGCCAGAATGAAGGGACTAGTTAGTACGTAGCTATTTACGTAGCTATATTCATACAGACATATCTACCTACATATATGTGATGTGTGTGTGTGTGCATGCAATGTATGTATGTGTGTGTGGGGCGCATGCACCGACCTCACCAGGGGTTATAGGGCATGCCACACGACACCCAAAGGCATGGAAAGGCATGCAAAGGCATGCGACGGGCGGGGCCGGGAACTTTTCGAAAATTTTCTGAAACTTTTGGTGCGTGCTTTTGCGTGCCTTTGCGTGTCAACGGCCTTATCTGGGGCATCCCAGCGTGCCTTTTCGTGCTTTTGGGTTTTCCTCCCGAGCCCGGTGGTGAAGCGAGCTTGGCGAGCGAGCCCGGCCATGCCTCCGAAGGTGGAGCTGCGGAATCTCAATCCGCAGAGCATGGCCAAGTTTTTTTCCGAGTCTACGTACTCGGACAAGCGTGCCTCCCGCGAGTCCTTGGCCAGTACGACGGCCACTTCGGGAGCTGGTGATGGTGCTATGGTAGGCGGATCTAAAGGATCGGGGCCCGCCACCGCCAAAGGCAAAGCTACCAAAGGCGAGCTCGCGAAGGGCAAGGCTGGATCAGGGGGGCAGGCAAACCCTGGCAAGGGCAGCCTCGCGAAGGGCAAGGCTGCTGGAGCAGATGATCACACAAACCCTGGCAAAGGCAAGATCGCGAAGGGCAAGGCTGGAGCAGGGGATCAGGCAAACCCTGGCAAGGGCAAGATCGCCAAGGGCAAGGCTGGACCAGATGATGAGGCAAACCCTGGCAAAGGCAAGACCGTGAAGGGCAAGACTGATCAGGCACACCCTGGCAAGGGCAAGATCGCGAAGGGCAAGGCTGGACCAGATGATGAGGCAAACCCTGGCAAGGGCAAGATCGCGAAGGGCAAGGCTGGAGCAGGGGATCAGGCTAACCCTGGCAAGGGCAAGACCGTGAAGGGCAAGGGTGGAGCAGATCAGGCAAACCCTGGCGGCAAAGGCAAGACCGTGAAGGGCAAGGGTGGAGCAGATGATCAGGCAAACCCTGGCGGCAAAGGCAAGACCGTGAAGGGCAAGGCTGGAGCAGATGAGCAGGCAAACCCTGGCAAAGGCAAGACCGTGAAGGGCAAGGCTGGAGCAGATGAGCAGGCAAACCCTGCTGGCAAAGGCAAGACCGTAAAGGGCAAGGCTGCAGGAGCAGATGATCAGGCAATCCCTGCTGGCAAAGGCAAGATCGCGAAGGGCAAGGCTGGAGAAGGGGATCAAACAAACCCTGCTGGCAAAGGCAAGCTCGCGAAGGGCAAGGCTGGAGCAGGGGATCAGGCAAACCCTGCTGGCAAGGGCAAGGTCGCGAAGGGCAAGGCTGGAGCAGAGGATCAGGCAAACCCTGGCAAAGGCAAGACCGTGAAGGGCAAGGGAAGTGGCCAGGGAATGGCAGGCAAAGGCAAGCCAGGATCCGCAAAGTCAAGTGGCAAAGGCGAGGTGAGAGACAGAAGCAGTGAGAGAGGGGAGAGTGCAGAGGGAGAGAGGCGGCAGCATCTCATGTGTGAAGTGTTCCAGAACTAAGCAGCAACCCCACAGCAGCAGCAGCAGCAGAAGCAGCAGCAGCAGCAGCAGCAGAATGAGCCCATGATGCTTTCAATTTGTTATGCGGACTGAATGTGTGTGTGTGTGTGTGTGTGTGTGTTGTGTGTGTGTGTGTTGTGTGTGTGTATGGGGCAGGTTCTGCGACTATAGGTACCTCGAGCCCTCCTCTCCCCTCCCTCTCCTTCTCTCCTTCTCTCCTCCCTCTCCCTCTCCCTCTCCCTCTCCCTCTCCCTCTCCCTCTCCCTCTCCCTCTCCCTCTCCCTCTCCCTCTCCATCTCCCTCTCGCTCTCTCTCTCTCTCTCTCTCTCTCTCTCTCTCTCTCTCTCTCTCTCTCTCTCTCTCTCTCTCTCTCTCTCTCTCTCTCTCTCTCTGTCTTTTATGTCTCTTCTTCCTGTCTCCTCTTCCTGCCTTCTTGCACACACACACACACACACACACACACACACACACACACACACACACACACACACACACACACACACACACACACACACACACACACACACACACACACACACACACACACACACACACACACACACACACACACACACACACACACACACACACACACACACACACACACACACACACACACACACACACCCACCCACCCACACGGACACACTCACTCGCTATCTCTCTCCTCTCTCTTTCTACATCGTTTTCTTTCCCTCTCTCCCCCCAAACCACCCTCTCTGCCACATAGCGGCCCATCCCCTGCTTGCAGGTACCATTGACCCCGATGCCGAAGAGTATGAGGAGGTCCAGGTGGAGGAAGTGGAGTGTGAGGAACACTGCGACGAAGAGGTGGAGGAACCGGAGGAGGAAAACGATCAGGATGATGATGACTTGGTGGAGGATGATGATGATCCTGAAGGATCTGGTGATGGAGGTGAAGACCTTGAGGAGGGGTGGGGTGACGAGGACGAGTGGGGTGACGGGTGCGAGGAGGAGGCCGAGACCGATGACGAAGGTATCCCCACTTCCGGCTATGCGGATGATGGTCAGGATGCTGCCGACCCTGCTACAACTTCCAGCCCCCAGCCGCCCCATGCCTGCACATGATTTGTTCGTGCTTGCGTTTGTGTTAATTAGTGAGTCTGGAGCAGTTAACAGACATGAGCCAGGAAGCCGATCCTGCAGCGGGCCATGTCGAGCCTCAGTGTCCGTTCGGAGCCGTCTTCCTCTATGAGCCCGGGCCCATTGGGGGTACGTGATGAGGGCAAGATCAGGAGGGCACCGACCCCGGCTGTTTGCTATGTGCAGGCACATACCGATAGTTTGGAATATCAACTCCCGTGACCTGATTTGACCCTAGGTCAGAGTCCTGAGCCCTGAAGAAAGAAAGCAGATCCAGGACTGAGCGTGCAATTGTGTTGTCTAGCTGCCGATGTGTGAGGAAACCCTTATCTTGTTCACAGGCAATGACGCACCCGAAAGAAATGGATGCCGGGGAACGCCGTCGGCAGCGTGAAGCCATGAAGCGGCGCATGTCGCATCCTCAAGGAGAGAAACAGTTCAACGATTTGCTCCCCAATCCTTAATTATAAACTGCACTAGAGACATACTCTATATGCTATGCAGGACTTCCTGCCGGCTTGCTCGAGAAGTGGGAAGCAACCACCTCTACGACCGGCAAGCCTCTCGAAATATTCTATGTAGTATTCAGTAACTTCTGGGTATCACACATGGATCAGTCGATTCTCTGACCCCTGCAGCGTCCCAAGGTTTGAATTCTTGAAAGCGTTTATGCTCGACGAGAACATGACTTCCATGCACATCGAAGCGGAGTACAAAGAGTGCCACAACTATACTGATTGTTCATCATTCAAAAGGCCGGTTGCATTTTTTCAATACTTATCTTAGGTACTCGGAGAAGCGCCAGGAAGGTCATTACATTGAGCTCCCGCTCCACGAACTAGAAGAGAAATACAACAAGACAGAAGAAGGCCGACGATTTCTTCGTGATGATATCCTGGCCAAACAGACTGGTCGCGAGCACCCACAAGCAAAAGGCAATGCTGCATGGCGCTTGTATAAGATCTACGAACACGGAAAAGAGATCAGCATCTGAGATGAATTAGAACCACGAGAGAGAGAAGGAGGCAGAGAGAGAGAGAGAGAGAGAGACAGAGACAGACAGAGAGAGAGAGAGAGAGGGAGAGAGGGAGAGAGATACCATAGGAGACACGACATCCAAGGCGCCAACGTGACCAAGGTGGGCACAAAGACGAGAGTCAAGAAGAGCATCGGCAAAGCGGACACGGCCACGAGAAAAAAACTCGCGGAGGTCTTGACCTCCCAAGGTGCCGACCATGTGAAGGGCACGGAGGAGAGCAAGAAGCCGAAACCGAACAAGGAACCGAAGGACAGCACTGCGCTCTGCATGCCTGGGAGTTAAAGCTCAAATGCTCGTGCAATATCGTCTTGTTTCGCAGGTTCTCACGGAAGAGGAGGTGAAGAAACGTGATTTCGAGAAAGCCATGACCCAGTCCCTTAGCTGGCATGTCCTCCTTTATAAACTTTCTGGCACGCATGGAACCGAGAATCGATCTGCCTGCCGAGGCTCCTTGCCCTAGCTGGCAAAGCCAGATTGGTTGCCCAGAACCTCAATCGGTCGGGCATGGAACGCCAAGAGGCCGGGATCTTAAGCTAACTGGCTCCTATAAAGATAACCTTTGGTGTGTAAAGGTTCGTGCTTGCACAGGGAATGTAGTTGTCTAGCACTTTAACTCGTGAATTTCTTACAGTTACTTAATTCTCAATCTGTACCCACGATATAACTTTAGACTCTAGACCAACAAGCCCGAACATCATATGGGAACTTCAATGGATGGCTTCTTTGTTTGTGGGCGGCTCCAGGCCAACATCCAGCACATGCAGGAGGTGCATGCACAGACGATGAAGATTCATGGCGAGCACCTCGCCCCAAACAGTTTCAGACATGTGCTGCATGCAACCTAGTGGTTTGTGCTTTATGCAGGATCAACGAATATGTCTTCAATGGCCACGACGATGAGACTGTCTACGCGAAATTGGACGAGAAAAAATCCGAAATCGAGGCTGGATCCCCAAAACCCGATACTACATATGTGCCTGAATTATTTATTCTAACCCTCTGAAATATCGAATGCAGAATGCGGCTCTGTCGTCCAATCGTACTGTTCCTGCACCAGCCAGCACACAGGCAGCCAACAAGGCCGTCCTGCAGGCGGAGGATGTTGTCGCGGGCCACTATCGGCGTGTCTTCGAAGCACATATATATTGTTTGAGTCTCGCCTGTACTTTGTGTAGCATGCTGTGAAAGTGCTCAGGTCTGGCTTCGGAGAAGCGGAAGAGGGAGAAGGCTGCTAAGGCAGGCGATTCCGACGGTACCGAGCACTACGACTACGAGGGCTACGACAATGATGGCTCATGGAATGACCAGTGGGAGGAGCCTGGCCCAAAACGGTCTCGATCATGCTAGCTGTGTGGCACCCGAAGTGGTTGCAAGATCACACATGGGCTTCGAAGTTCTGCGATACTGTGTGCACAGCTGCATACAGTGCGTGTAGGGAGCCGCTCGCAAGATCGGCACTGTTCGCTGCCACTGGGTCGGGGATAGCCTATATACATGTGCGATTCTGAGATGATCCACTGCGACCAATCTAGGAGTCTAGCTTAAAGCTCGATCTGTGCACGCCGTGATTTTCTGTTATGTTCGATCCGACCTGCTGTGCCAGTGTTTTCAATGTCCAACAAAGATGCATCTGCTCGGGGACAGAGTGAAAAAGTTCCGTCGCCTTCCCAAGTGAGTGTGCTCGCATATATGGAACAGATCTAGAGCCAGCTTTGCACATGTGCTGCACTCGGCGACAATGCTCGAATGTGAACTGGAGACCAATTACATGAAACACATCCCCCGAAAGCCTTTGAACCCTGATATTGTTAAAGCCCTTACCCGCCTCGCCCCCAAAACCCTGAACCACGAAAACCCTGAACCCACAAACCCTTAAACCTTAAAACACAAATAAGCTCCAGGTATGCAGAAGAGTGACAGCCATGGACTCCAAAAAGCCACGATCAGATCCAGGTCTGGGCATCCGCGAGTATGTGGAGCAAACCATCTTGGATGCTTTGGAAATGTTTGGGTCTGGGGAGGTGGCATCGTGCACGCAGTCTTGCAAGCCTGTGGCTATAGGTCACAACATTTCAACTATCAGTGCAGGCCAACCTGAAGAGATTCCGAAGTGCTATAGGCCGTGGGCTTGCTGTAGTGCAACACACAAACACTCCATTCACATGCAAGCTGTTGGCTGCGAGCTTCGATAACACTTGGTTAACTGCAGGCCGGCTGCAGGAACTGCCCCAGGCACTGATTCCGTTCCCCGTCTCATTCACTGGAATCTGTATGTGGTTGTTTTCCGATGTTCCCGATATATTCACACATCTAAGGGATGATGTGCAGGAGCTCTACCAAGCTCTGGAATCAGACAAATCATGGGGATCCAGTCGTGTTCTGAGGAGATGGCTGAAGAAACAAAAATGGAGAAACCCAGCAAATTCATTAAGCCACAATAAACAAAAAAGCCGTGCTATACATAAATCAAAGTTAGTTATGCCCATGAGCCTAGGACAAGCCTTGCCTCAAGAATTCGAGCTGGATGTGCCAATGGCGACTGGGACGCACACAATCTCGGCTGGTTCCTCAATAGAACGTGCCTTCTCAGGAATATATTGACTCCCACGGAAAACTGCAGAAGTTCATAAAACATGCAATGTACCTCCCGCACGAAGTGGTGGGATCATTCTACGAGCGGGAGGATTTGTTCTCGCTATTGACAGGGCCCCCCGGAGCCACTTGATGGAATGAAACATGCACCAACAGCTTTTGTGGTCTGGGGCTTGAACAGCAAATGCAGCTCAGGCTCTTCGAACATATTGGGAACAGGAGCTGTCAGCAGCAAGCTCCAGCCATTTTCTGAAGACGCACCCGGCTTTGGATGCACCTGGGCTGAAGCTTGTGCTTGGCGCGGAGGATTGCTTTATTTGTGGTCTGCACGCAGGAACCCGGCTGTGATCTCGATTTGGTGGTTCCACTGCGATTGTATGGCGATGGTGCCGATGCCTACCGCTACTCAGCCAGCAATTAATTCGACAGAAACATGCATACGCCTCATGAAACCGATGTCCTGCTGAAGCGCACAAACATGTACTAAGGACGGCAGAAGTTCGAAATTCTGACACTCGTGACCGTCCCCAAGACTGAATCTGAGTCGTCCACATTGAATACTCGATTTCTGCATCTCGATGAGCAAATCATACAACCTTGGATTGAGTCGCAACTAAACCCCGAAACCCGGTGCATCACGTCCAGGCTATCATGTATGAATGCCACCTTCTGCAACCAACCTGCACGGGACCTACTGCTTACCGTTGTGGCGTGGAGCTTCAACTGCCTCAGCCGCTGGGCTGAATCTTCTAAGGTGATGGCAGTCGTGAATTCTTCACCTGTAAATTCTTGAGGCAAGGGTGTGTACCCTCACTGCGATGCATTCGGGAAGGAATTCGGGCCGACATATATGCCCGAAAGGGCGAAAGTGGCAGGCCAACGGATTTGCGGCCCCTACGTGTGCATTTTCGATGGGTTTCAAGCCGACTGGGAGTACCACAAGCTGGCTCTGGGCCTGAATCGTTTCTTGTCTGCAACAAGCTAATTAACCTGTGTCGGTATCCGAACTTCTACCTCCCATATGATCAGCCATAGGCTTCTACAACAAGAAGCTCACATGTCATCTCTGCTCTGCTCTCCAATGGGTCAATGCTGCTGCCAAGCCGGGTGAACCTAACAACGTGGAGCTGCTCTATTCTTGCTTCGGGCACCACGCCCAACACCGGAGTACTTTGATCACGACCAACGAGGATTTCGTCGAAGTGCATGGCGAATCTCCACTCACAAGAATTGATGGATTTGGCCCCTGCAGAATCCCAGCTGGCATCATTTGTGTTTTCATGTTGTCCGAAGAAATCATTTAGTTAATTTCTAGTGCCAGCTTCGAATGCCTCAGGGATCCTCCCTGACTACATGCATATGGTCCATTTGGCCTGTGCTGTTGACTTTCTGGCCAGCATGTTGCTGGAGGTGACCGATGATGCTACGATCGTGGAAGGTTCATCACGAGAAAAGCGATTGGATCTTATCTGGAAGGACTACCGATCCTGGTCTGAAGCCTCTCAAGTCGGTGATCGTGCCAGCAGACGTATGTTCACTACAGCAGTTCTGCGCAACAACAAAGTTGTTGAGGTTTCTCAAAAGATCTTATCTGCAACGGCTTGCAGATATATGCTACTTTGGGCGGCCACATTCTTGACCACGGTGTGCGAATCTATGAGTGCACTGCCTCCCACCTTGAAGCAACCTGACACATATATGCAAGTGCTAACTGGGTTATCCTGTATTCTTGCACGAGATGTGAGCTTGCATGCGCCCAGGCACTTGTGGGACGTGGCCGCAGCTTTTCGGGACATGGAGATGTTGATGATCCACAATGGGCACTCGATCAGCACTGGGTGTAAACGTATCTCAATTGCAAACGAGAATTTAACAGAGCATCCAAGGCGCTTTTTCGACCAAGCATCGGCCGACCAGTATGAGCAAGCTTACCTGGTGCTGCGGTTTGGGTTCAACGAGCTTGCTGCGAGTGCGATATCTAGAGGCCTTCCGAGGTACCACTTTCGCCCTAAACTCCACCTATTGGAACATGCAGTCCTAGATTTCAGACCTAGGAACCCTAGATACTTCAGCAACTATTTAGGGGAAGACGCGATACGCCGCATAAAAGCCCTTGCATGCAAAGCTCCGGTGCGCAACATGTCGCATAACGTTCTTTTGCGCTATACTGTGCAAATGGGACTTCAGTGGCGGAGAGAGGCCTAAAAAGATCCGATCGTTTGCGGTTGAGTTGCTGCATGTGCCACATCGTCGACTGCCGACTTGCAGCAGATTGCAGGGGGATCCATGGCTTAAGTACAGGAATATTTTCTTAAGATTGCGGATCCAGAGTTTCAAGTTTTCTCTATATATACAATATTGCACATGGCAAACATTATAGTTGAATCCTATATATCCGATCTTTTCACATATATGTTTCCGTATATACAGACACACGCTTATCGATAATCAAACACTTAATGAGATCTACCAAGATCGCTGGCGAGGCAACTCAGTCGGCGCTTGCAAGGTCCCGGCAATCATGATCACAGCGCATGCGACTTAAATATATACATTTACACACACGCACGGTCGAACGCAAGATGATACACATGCTTTATACCATGCATACACGCCATGTGTAACACCTATACTACATATGTCAACGACATGTGCATGCTTGCTGAATGTATTTTGTGTGTTCGATACGGAATCCAACCTTAAACGTATAAACTGCAAACCCATCAAATATTGAAACGTAGATGAATCGTAACGATGCTCATGATATGGCTCCGGGGGGCTTGCTTTTTTTCATCGACCCGATATGCGATCAAAACATCGCATTGCCAAACTTGATGTTTTAAAAACTTTCGGTCGGTTTTCATGCATCAAAAAAACTTTTCGATCTTCAAGTCAAAAAGCTAATCGGCCTCATGTGGGCCAACGGCTTTATCCCGCAATCGACTTCATGTATAAAGTCGGCGGGCGCTTCCTGGTAAGCCAGGCCGCTTGCGCATCTCCGACGCTGGTGGCGGGGCTGCTTTGACCCGCTTGCGCTCCGACGAAGGGACCCGCGGTCGGTCCGCTGATGGAGAGAGCACCTCTGGTTTCTCCTCAGCAAAGCGGACCCGCTTCCCTGCATTCCCTAGGGGGGTGCGAGAGCTGCTTTCCCCGGGCTCGAAGCGAGCCACGGGAGTGCTTCCGACCCGGCGAGTGGGGAACTCAGGTCTCCCTGCAAAGTCCAGGCTTTCTTCTGCCAAGCCTGCTGAGGCCTGCCTTCCGGCCCGGCGGGTTTTGGCTTGCCCGGTCTGCCGGTCCGATGCCCCTGCGCGTGCGTTCCACTCTGGTTTCGTTCCGCCGACTTTTGGGTTGCAACCGCTGCGACGCGGCGGCGTTTCCCCCGAGGCCTGTTTCAAGCCCGGGGCGCCTGTCGCTCCTCAGAGGTTCGCTCCGTCCAACCTTGAGCGTCTGTTCGGATGTGAGTCGCTGGCAGGCCACTCGGCCGTCGCTATCGGCTGTCCGGGCCCGATCGTTGGCGCTGTCGCCATCGGCGACCCGTGCTGGGCTTTCGCTGCGGAGCCCAGCGCACGGGCAGCACTCTTGCAGCTCCTTGACAGCTTCGAGGGCGACCGTGTCCTCCTATGGGTGGGACCAGAGCTGGTTATGCCGGCCGGCCCATTCCATGCTTTTCTCGAGTTCCTCGGAGTTTTACAGGCTCATATCGCGGCTCGCGGTCAAGCCGGGGCCCTCGCTGGCCCGGTCACTCACCGCCTTTGGACCCACAAGACCTTTGTCCTTCTCTCTTGCGAGCGGGCATGGGCTCGTGCGCGCGTCGACAGCTGCGCCCTTCCCCCGGGCGGGGGCGGCTGTCTCTCGTGGTTGGTCCGGGGGTGGCCGGCGAGTGCCTGGACCGGCGTTTCTCGCCTTTGCCGCGGCGGCCACACCCATTTTGGCGACTGCCGCGCCGCGTCCGCTCTCTGGGATTTTCTGCTCGCTTTTCCTCTCGAACCGCGGGCCTCTTCGGCTCGGGATGGGGGGGGGGGGGAGCAGTGCGCCCTGCCTCTCCACCCCCCCACGGTCTTGGACAGGGACCCAGCAAGGTCCGACGTTCCCCCGAGCTCCTCAGGGTCCATCTGGACAGGCTGTGCTCCGTGGCGGGTGCGGTTAAGAAAACCGAAACCCGTTTCGAGTTGTGGCCAGAAGGATCACCCCTGGCCGAGCCGCCTTCGGCAGACTTGGGAGCTGCTATCGGAGCTTACTTAGATCTCGTCGCGGGAGCCCCTTATGATCCGAAGAGGTTTGCGGAAGCAGCACGCCTCGGCACCAAAGCCCGCGCGGCTGCCCCGTCGTTTCCAGAAGCCTTGAGGGCCCTGCGCAGAGAATGGACCTTACGCCAAGGCGACCATTTCAAGGGTCTCTTCGAGGCAGCCCTGGACGAGTTGCTCCCTTCAGACCTGCTTCACTGGCTTAGACACACTGCCACCCAGGGAGTTGACGCCCGCTACGAAGGGGACCGCCAGCGCGTGAGAGCCACGCCGCACCCGTCCCTGCAGGGGCACCTCACCGAGGCGTTCGAGCAGATCTGGAAGGATGTAAGTAAAGGGAGGGTTCTCCTACTTACGTGCCCTGGCGACGCTACTCTTCTTGAAGGGGTGATCTCCGTTCCTTTGGCGCGTGTCCCCAAAATGCTGCCTAACAGGACTGTGTCCGCGAAAGGACGGCTAATATGGGACGCCAGACGTGTAAATGAACACTGCAGCAAACACCGGTATTTCCCGGCGCTGCAGCCGAGACACTCCGAGATAGCAAGGTTGATCCTCTGGTGGCAGACTCGCTTCCCTCACATCCCAATCTATTTGGCCAAGAAGGATGTCAGTGACGCCTTTAAGTGGTTATGGATTCAAAGTGAGGATGGGCCGCTCTTTGGCGCTGATCTGCCCGGGACTGAGCTTGGGCTTCCGGAAGGCGTCACCGCGGTATATACTGCGATGACCTTCGGTTGGACCGGGATTTGCCTGGGGAGTCAAGCTCTTGCATAGCTCGCATACCCCAACCCAGCCGCTTTGGCACGACACTACTGCTTTCAAATCGCTGATGCTAATGGACGACGCCGTCGTCATTGAACCAGCGTTGGGCCTCCGGCCTTGGCAGTCACTGCGTACGGCCGAAGCAGCGGCGCGCAAGATCTTAGGCCCCGAAGCTATCAACCCGGAGAAGGACCTCGAGGAGGGTACGCTCACGTTTGACAAGGTGATCTGGGGTCTCTCCTACGATACCCGTGATAATACTGTCTCCCTTCCCGGGCCGAAGCTCGAAAAAGCGGGCCACTTGCTCCTCCTCCCTGACTTCGATCGAGGAAACACTCACCTTGCCCTGCGATTGGTGCAGGAACTGCGTGGTAACTTGGAGTTTTGGGCAGCTGTCCTTCCCACTGTCAACCCCTACCTGCACTCCATCAATGCGCTCCTCAAACCCCCGGACGAGCAGGGCCGAGCTAACCCACAGGGCGACCCCTCTGAAGTGGCAGCCCAGTGGGACAGCTTCTGGGATACTCTCGACCTTTTGAGGCTGCTGGCGCAGGACCGAGCTTCCTGGTCCACCCGCTTCTCCAACCCTCTGTTTGCAGCCCTGGATACCAATGAGATACTGGCGTTGCCAGGGGTTAGCTCAAAGGTAATCTGGGTCACCGCCGATGCGACCCCCACTCATGTGGGAGCGGTCGACTGGTCAAGTAAGATCGCTGTGGCGCAGACAGTGGGGCAGTTCCTGGCTGCCGTGGCGTTGGCAGGAGCCCTAGCTAAGCTCGAGGCGAGTTTCTCGCCCGGGACTGGCGAAGATGAAGAGTGCGAAGACGACCGCCTGCAGATTGCTCTCGCAGAGCTCGTTGCACTCCTAGTTCTCTGCGCCCATCGTCGGGAAGCTTGGAAAGGATGCATTATCCTCTATGCCGGGGACAATCAGAACGTCATCACCTGGGTCCGCTCGCGCCGCTCTGGCCATGCCGGCGCCAGCTTCTTGCTGCTAGTGCTGGGTGCGCTGGAAGTGACCCATGGGTTCCAGATTCCAGCCTTCGACCCCGTTTGGGCAAATCGTGAGCCCACCACCTGGATAGAAGGGGGCACGTTGAAGGTCGACCCCACCTTCCCCCACCTGGGACCTCATAAGCCTAAACCCTTGGGGGAGCTTCGGGGTGGTTCGAGTAGTCGCGCTAGGGAGCTTGTCTTTTCAACTGCACGCCCCCTTCCGGGCTTGCATCAAGGTTCCTGGGAAGCCCAACACCCCGACCGTTTGGTTTTGCTAGGTAAGGGTACTAGTCCTAGGGTTTTAGAACCCGGTGAGGCGGTTCGCCTCCAGGGAGGCAAAGACCCTGAAGTCCCCCTTGACCCTAACGCCGCTAGCACCCTTGCCACCTCGTACCTTAGAGCCACCCCCCTTGCCCTTGCCGCCTGGTCCGTAACCTGGCTCACGTCGTGTTTAGGCACAAGTAGCAGTAGCGAAGGTTCAGGTAGCCTTGAAGGGGGAGGGGTGCGCTCACGGGGGTAGGGGAGCGCCGCCAGCCGGAGAAGAGGGCAGCGCTGCCTCTTCCCAAAAAAGCAAGTTCCCGTGGCTCGTTTCGAGCCGGGGACAAACCCTCCTGACCTCGAAAGAGGCGAGGACGCCTCACTCGCTCCAGAGAAGGCAGGCGCGTGCAGCCTGCCGTGGGAGAGCCACTGCTGGGCCCAAGTCGCTGCTTGGCTCGAGGCTGAAAACCGCCGCGCCGGAGGACGGCCGCGTGAGTCCTCGCGTGAGAGGACGCCGAGAGAAGAGCGCTCCGGGAGGAACCGCGAACCCGCCGGGCAGCGGTCTAGGCTCTACGACGACGGCAAAAAGCTCACAGCGTTCCTCCGGCACACGGCCCCAGTCGACGTCAACGGCTACATAGCCGTGGAAGAGCTGCTTCGGTTCAGGAGGTTCGAGGGCTGGACCTCCGTCAGGGTGAGAGAGGCAGTAGCGGCCTCCAACAAGAACCGGTTCAACCTGAGGACGTCGCAAGGTGTCGAGCAGGTCGCTGCCTGGTCGGGGCACACCATACGAGGTGTGCTGGGGCCAGCCCAACACGTCGAGGCAGGTTCCCTGCCCGGCGTCCTGGTGCATGGAACCTACAGCAGCTACGTGCCGAGCATCCAAGCGGAAGGCTTGGTACCGACGCGGAGGTCGATTCACTTGCTGGATCCCAAGCATCCTCACCGCAAGTGGCGGCCCGACCTTGAGGTAGCCATTTTGGTCGACGCTTGCAAGGCGCAGGCTGAGAATCACGTGTCCTTTAGGCTCACTGGGAATGGGATCTACCTAGCCGACCATGTTCTGCCATCCGAGCTGTTTCTTGCCATTCTACCTTGGAGCGAATTCGAAGCGAGCCTCGCCCCAGGGTCAGGGTTTGACTGGGCAGAGCATGCTGGAGGTGGATCCACGTCTCCGGCGCCAGGGGCTACCGCTAGAAACCCTTCCCCGCGGCGCGTTTCGCGCCCGGGAAAAGGGGAGCCCCGAGCGGGGGCCAGTTCCAGCTTTCCACCTGCCAGGCCAGCGGGGCCAGCGAGCTTCCCGCCCCCCAGGGACCCCACGCGGAGCAGCTTCCCACCAGCAAGGGACCCGACTAAGAGCAGCTTTCCGCCGGCCCGAAGCTCGGCGCCTAGTCACTCACAGCCTGTGGTGCTGACGCCTGCTCCGGCCCAAGCCTCAGAGGAACCCTCGAGCGGGTCACGAGACCCAGCGCCTCTTCCGGAAGAGGCGATGGGCACCACCGACCACGAGACCGCTGCCGAGGCTATCGCGGTCAGTGAGGACGAAGCAGGTCTCCCGCTGAATGCCGAGACGGCCACCCCGGGCCCCGTCGAGAGCCTGGCTGCCGTCGCTAAGGCGCTTGACCCGGTCACCGCCAGCCAGGGGACTACTACGGTCTTTGTAAAGCCAGCGACCTTTGAAGTCCTTCAATCGGCGGGCGACGATGAACCGGACTGGTCCGCGGACGAGGAAGAGCCGGTCATCGTCCAAGCGATCCCGGCGGGCGAAGACCAGACTGAGGCAGGCCACCGGGATGAGGCTTCTCCGCGGCGCGTTTCGCGCCCGGAGCTTGCCTCTTCCTCAAGTGCGCGAGCCGCTTCTGTCTCGCGCGCCGGAGAGGCTGGAGAGCTGACGAGCCGGACGGCTACTCGAACGCGTTCGGAGTCTCCGAAGGTCCGCTTCGGAACAGCACACCTCCAGCTGATCCGGGAAATCGCCCAGGCCGACTCCGCGAACTTCAAGAGCCTTAAGAAGGTCGTCGAAGGGAGCAATGTGTCGGCCCTGACTAAGAGCCAAACCCTGGACCGCCTGGAGCAGCTGGCTTACCAGCGTGGGGTGGCCTCGCTCGAGGGGAAGATACGGGCTATCGATGTCCAACGAGACGTCGCCCAGCGAGCCCGTACAGAGGCGGCGTACTTGGAGTCCCTCACTCCCGAAATGAGGGCCTTGGAACAGAACAACCCAGTGCGACCTTCCGCCGGAGCCTCGAAAACCTCAGATGTGCGGATGCAACAGGCCATCGCAGCAGGGGGGTCCGTCTGGGTCGAGCGCCGCAAACAAAAAGGCCGCGAACGGGCCGCTCGACACAGAGAGGCTCAAGCGGCGCAGGCGGCTGAAGAAAGGGCGGCGGCCACAAGTGTGATCGCAGACTTGCCAGTCGACCAAAGAGGGCCAGCCCTAGATGCCGAAATGGACAGGCGGGCCCGCGAGGAACTTACTGAGTTTCGACGAATGAAGCGAGAGCGGCTCGGCCCCACGACCCGAAGCCCAGGCAGAAAGACTCCAAACGCCGAGCCGCGCTCAAATGGCAAAGATGGCGCCAGAGGCGCTCTACCGATGACATGGACTGCGATACCAACCATGCTATCGCGCACCTGGGGTCCGCCGACCGGGGTGAAGAAAGCCCTGCCCCCGCGGCGCGTTTCGCGTTCGGGGAAGACCCGGTGGACTGCGCCATGCATCGGGGCGATGGAGACACCCGCAGCTGCCCCAGTGCTGCTGGACGTGGGGACGGGCACCTCGGCCGCTGCGCCGACGCCGCTGGCGACTCGCCCGGCGGGGAAAAAGGGGGGTGCACGGCTTTAGGACCAGGGGCGTAGGACTCCGGGTTGGTTCCGCCTGCCTCCCCAGCCTTAGGTTCTCTAGGGTCTGGGGCTGCGTTGGGGGTTCTTTAAGGCCTGTTCAGGGTTTAGCTCCGCGTAGCCTTCCCCGCGGGGCGTTACGCCCCCAGGGGTTTAGGATGGCTCTGCACACACCTGACCCGGCCCCCTTCCCTAAAAGCCATGGCCCCTCCTCACTCTGTATGTTAGGCAGTAGCTGTAGGGACCCCACCGAGAGTCCTTTAGGCTTAAGGGAAGCCTGGGACCCTTGGGGAGCCCCCTCCTCGTGCACCGCTACCCGCTGCTCACTCTTGTCGTCGCGGCCCCTGATGGGGGCTGTGGCAACCTGGGGCCGCCTGTTAATCCTGCAGAGCTTGCTTCTCGGAGTGGAGGCTCAAGGCCGTTCAGGAGCCGTGGCACGTTTCGTGCCCGGCTACGAAGAAGCCTATTACACCTGCCTCTGCATCGTTTATGCATTCTCGCAGGGCTTAGCATATGTTCGGGGTACACCCTTGGGGTGTGGCGACGATCTAGCCCGCGCGACCCCACCGGGCCCCAGAGCCTGGGGTCTTCAGGGACCCCAAGTACGACGAGTACAGACCGTGCGGACGCGGACCCCTGGAACGGCTTCCGCAGCATTGCGGAATGGAACCAGCGTGCCGCGACTACGGAAGCCCCTACGGGTCCTGCAGGGGGGCAGAGCGCCGCGCCAACTGAAAGTGGAGCCTCTTCTTCCACCTCACCACCAGGCGTGCCCCCGAAAGCACCACCGCCAACCCAAGCTTGGCTGGCGAACCTTGATCCATGCTATCGCTGCTTGCCGAGACTGTAACCCCGGGGTCGATCCCACTGGATTCGAAGCTACCCCCAGGGGCAGGGCATGGCATCGGCGTACGTGTGGCCACATCACGGGTCGCGGTACCCGGATGCTGGAACGGTGCCAACTCTGCCACGCCCAACTTCTGCGACGCCACCCGGGAACTGCCCGTCGTCGTCGGCCGCCTCCGGGCACCGACGATGCGGTGCGCGATACCAACCACGCCATCGCTCATCCCTTAAAGGATGCCGAGGCCCGAGAGCGCTTCGGGGTATGGGCTTTGAGCCTCTCCCTCGTCGTTTGCGTTTTCTCCCTCGGGGTCTGCCTGTTCCTCCTTTGTTCTGGGCCCGGGAAGTCAGTCCCGATCGTGGCCGAAGTGCAAAAGGTCATGGTTAAACACTCGGAAGTCGGCCTCAGCTCGGGTGAGGTACTCAGGTGGCGGCCCCAACTGTGCTTCAACCTCCCGCGCTGAGTGGTACATGGCTTCTCGTGCTGCTTGGCCCAAAAGCTGGGCGGCGGCAAGCGTAGGGAGTTCTCCTTCGGTGGAAAGGACACCAGCGGCAACGTGGAGCAGCATACACTGTTTGGGCTCTTCAGTCTCATTGCGCCCTAGAAGAGCTTGCATTTCTGGACTGAGGGGAAGCCGATCCTGATAATCAAATTGGCGCCAGTGAGCTCCATTGTACTCGAAGGTCCCGAATCCAATGTCCCCATCCCAGCTGATGCGCCCTACAGTAGCAGCTGCAGTGACAGAACCAGCCCGGGAGAGGCGTTGGGTGGAGTCGAGGTACTCAGCCGCCTGCGAGGCCAACTCCGGCCCGCCGAGAGTAGTTGCGACCTGGAAGCAGGCCTGCAACCGCTCCTGCGGGGAAGCGGGCGAATCGTGGTGGAGCAGGTAGTTCCGAACGAACACGGTGAGCAGATCCGGCATTGCCGAAAGGGGTGGGTCCTGTGAAGCGAGTAAGGCTTCAACCGCCCGCATTGCACGGGTCCGCTCCTGAAGGTCAAGCCCGGGGGATTCATACCCGGCAGGCAGGTCTGCGGCAGTGGCCTTGCCTTGGCCGTGATCCTGATCTTGATACCAACTGTAGTCGGCGCCCTGCACGAGCTTGCGAAGGCCTTCTTCTTGAAGGGTGTATCCCCCGTCTCGGAGCTCTACGGGGGGCTCGGGAGTGAGAGCCTGGTTGCTCTGCCCGGGCTCGGAACGAGCCTCGGGAAGCTGAGGTTCGGCGCCGAGTTCGCCTGCCCGAGTTCCCGGGGTGGGTTCGGGCGCTGACTCAGCAGGGGTAGCTCCCGTCGCATCCCCGGCCCTATTGGCTCTCCGACCCGGCCTGCGCTTGCCCCCGTCTTCCTGGACCTTGGCGGCCTGCTCCTGGGCTTCCAGGCTACGCAGGCCCGTCATTTCCTTGACGAGCTCGTCGGGGGACCGCTTGGCGGAACTGCGCAACCCCCCCCTGCGGAGGAGCTGCAGTTTAATGGAGTAGTCGAGAGCCTTCCACTTGACCGACCCTTTGTGCGACAGGCTGCAGTCTGGTTTTTTGCACCCCCCATGGGTGAAGAAATCCCAACACTGGAAGTGCCCTTCAGCGTCCCTGGGTCTGTGTTCAAGCGCGCGGGCGGTTTCCTTCGGGGTTAGTCCCGGGCCGATGAGGGCAGGGGGGAGGCCCCCCGCCTTTACTCGCGGCCCCACCGGCACGCGTGGGCGGGTCGTCTGCCTTCCCCGGGGGCTTGCCCGTCCGCCGAAGCGTCTCCAGCCCTGCCGCCTCCTCCCGGGAGCCCGGTTCGCGCTGGCCGTCGAAGGGCTTGAGCCCAAGCTGCCCGCGACAATTGGCGTTGGAGTCTGTCCAGCACATCGGTCGTGAAGTATTCACGCGGGTCCTCCAGCCGAAAGGTTCCCGGAAGCCGCAGCCAGGGCCGCCCTTCGGCATTGTGGGCAGTAGCAACAAATTTCATGCGGTCGAAAGTCGGGGACTCCTCTCGCATCAAACGTCGCAGGTCACGGTCAACTTCGCGGAGTTCTTCGAAGAAGCGGGCCCAGAGCTCTTCCCACACATCAAAAATAACATGCGCCGGCCAAGCGTAACTGTGCTCCTCGCCCAGCTTAGTCAGGTGGAGAGCTGCAGCTTCCCAGACGGCATAATGTTGTTGTCCGTAGACACAAGCCAGGCCCCATGCTTGCCTCAAAGCGTTCCTCAACCACGTGCTGACCGTCGTGGGTCCCCGTGGCCGCGCTTCAAGTTTAAGATCCGGCGGGCTTGAGTAGGCGTCGAAATCTGCCTCTTCAGTCTGCGGAAAATCTGCGGCAGACCCACAATGTAACGGCAAAGATTTAACATCCTTGGCTCCGAAGCTTGCCGACGCCAATGCGTAGCACAGGCGGTTGGTCAAGTTGACCGGAAACCTAAGTTGCCGTAATTTTGGCCTGGCTTGGGTAGCCGCGGCCCGCAAACTGTGGAAAAGCTCTTTCCCCACCACGCCTGCGGCAAGTGGCACGTCCAAGCTGTCGCAACCCCGCAGGAGAAAGACAAGTCGCTCCTCTTGCCGCCCGATGGCCGACAGTTTCCCCTTCTCTTGCCCTTGGTCGTCTTTGACGAGTGAACGGGCAATGGCTTGCAAAGCCTTCGCCGACTCGTCAAGCCTGGGGGGTTCGGCATCAGTGTATGCTCCCGCATGGAAAGGCCGCACGGCGTTGGCGAGAACCTGATACCCCCCTGGCAACGTGCTTGCTTGCATGAGGGGCCCCGCCGGGGGAGGATTCCCCTGCGCACCGGGGCCCTCTTCCCGTGGCCGGAAAAGGCTTGCGGCTGCAAAGGGAATTCGTTCTGCGGGGGGAGCGCTCTGTCCGGCTTCAATAGGTGGAGCAGGAGTCCCGGGCTCGGATCGAGCCGCAGGAAGGTCTACTCCCCCATATAAAGCAAGGGCGGGATGGCGCTGCTCCCCGCTAACGAAGGGAGGAGCACCAGCTGAAAACTCAGTCCCTCCGCTCCCGTCAGTCCCGTGCAAGTAAGCGTGAAACGCCCCGAGCACAGGGTCGTGCTCCTGCGGCTGTCCCTGCTCGGCGATTTCCTCAAGGACCTTTCGGGCAAGCCGTGGGTATTGAATAGGGAGCCGAGGCAAGTACTCCCGAGCAGCCCCTTGCAGTGGCTGCGTGAACGGGTCCAGCCCATACTCCTGGCAGGCTGCAGAGTAAGCCTTCGCCGCTGGTTGTCCCAACGCTACGTTGCGCACCAGCTTGCCAAGGGCCTCAGCTTTGAGGTTTGCGTCCCCTGGTGGGTCGAGTCTCTCTTCGGAGTCTCGCCCCGCTCCCGTCTTAACGCGAATTGCCTTCAGGCGCATCGCGGGATCAGGCAAGTTCGCGACCTCGTCCCAAGTGAGGCTAAGCAGCTGCGGCTCTGTCTCTCCCTGTGCTCGTCCTACCCCAGGTGGAGTTGAGGTACTGCGAGGCTTAGTCTGGGAGTTCCTAGGTGTCACAGGAGCGTCGGCCAAAGCCCTCGCATCCCCGGGCGTGGTAGCACGCCGCGAGGCCGGTTTCTCAAGCTCTGGAGGTCGTTTTGCTAGTTGGGGGTTTGCGTTCCTCCTTGGCCCCGTGGAGCTTACACAGCCTTACCCCACCTTTGGTGGTCCGGCTCAGTTCCACGCAGCCTTCCACTGCGCACTTACGTCGCGCGCTCGCATGCCCATATTGAGCGGAGTGTCTGGGGCATAGCCGGGCGTAGCAGCTGCCGTCTTCTTCCTGTAACCCAGCCTTATCGCTCACGCGCAGGTCCGCTGGCAAGATCTGGATACTGTCCCCGAGGGCCAGATCCTTGCAAGGCTCTTTGCACAACGCGTGCGTTTTGCCCCCTTCCTCCCACGCAAGCTGGTCGGCTTGGCACGCTTGTGCGTGGTCGTCGCCTTCACTCTCGGTCTCCGACCACTCGTGCAGGAGGCGGGAGGGCTCGGGGCCGTTCTCTCCTCCCGGGCGCGGACCGCGCCGCGGGCGTGAGCCACAGCCGCAAAACTGACAACACCGGCGCCGGCAGGAGCAAATGCAGCCACCCAGCGACTTCCAGAGGTAATATCCCTGGGCGCTGAGGAGCCACGTAGCCGTAAGGCACCTACCGAAGGGCCCTTTTCCTGCCAGCTCGGTGAGGTCCAGCTCTACCTCCCGAGGCACAACGGAGCTTGAAGTGACATGCACCTCCGCCGCTTCCGGTGCTGTGCAAGGTGATTGGGAGCAGAGGTGCACTCGGCAATTCGCTCCCTCCAAAGAGTGCCGCCAGTAGCGGTGTGAGCTCCCATGCACCGTGTCACAGGGGCAAGTAAACCCGTGCCGATTTGTACGCCCACGGATGGTGCCGTGCCGCAAGCGGGCAAGTGCAGTCCCGTCCGTGACCAACAAGTCGAAAGGGGCTTGGCAGGTTCCCCTGCCTCGGACTTTATCTTGGATGTACTGGGCGGTCCAAGCCACCTGTCCCGTGGGACCGTACCACACCAGTCGGAACGGCGTGCGGCCGTGATGGGTCAAAACCTCATCCCACGGAGCACGGCCCACGAGGTACTGAGCCAAGACGTAGGCGAACCTCGTCAGCGGCCGAAGGACCCAAACATAGGTCCAGTAGGCAAGCTGCGCGAGGGCCACCAATACCATGCCCGCCATAAGCCAGTAGACCCATTTGGCCGCCAGGCCGATGGAGACACATAGTATTCCACAGTACTCGATTCCCCCTTTTACAAACATGAGCAAGAATTTCATCGCGACTCGGAGGAACCAAGGGGGCGAGGGATCATCTTCTCGCGACCCTTCCTCTCCGGAATCCACGGCGGGGTCCATTGTGGATATTTTAACCCACAATTTCCACCATTCGCTCCACCAGCTGGCGTTACCCGGGCGCGAAGTCGCGCCACAGGTGCCATCCTGGTGTGCACACGTTTGGGGAGTTTCGGGTAGGCTATGGTTGGTAGACCATGGCCATTGCCACGGTAGTGTGCTATGAATTTGGCTGCAATAGAGCAGCACACTCAGTAGGGGCCTCATCTACCCTTGAGCCCGTGCTACGGGTAACAGGAAACTCTACGCCTACACGGCTATACAAGGCTACCAAGTTTTTTTAGTTTTTTTGAACTTTTTTGGGTTTTCCGCGGTCAGGCACCAGTTCCGTTTGTAGTTTAGGCCCAGAATGGGGGGGACCTCGAGATCGGCCCTCCGGCCTAATAAAAACGCTATTTTATGACCAGAATTTGTCACCCAGAACGCCCACCCCAAAATCCAGGAAATTGGGCCCTAAACCCTAGATGGGCCTGCTGCTGGCACTGGTGGCACTGGTGGGCCCGAGTTTTTTTGAGTTTTTTTTGGTTTTCCGCGGTCAGGCACCAGTTTCGTGTGTAGTTTAAGCCCAGAATGGGGGGGACCTCGAGATCGGCCCTCCGGCCTAATAAAAACGCTATTTTATGAACAGAATTTGTCACCCAAAACACCCACCCCAAAATCCAGGAAATTTGGCTTTAAACGCTAAACCCTAAACGTTTATGGTTTAGGCCCGAATCTGCACCAGTTCCGTTTGTACCAGAATGGGGGGGACCTCGAGATCGGCCCTCCGGCCTAATAAAAACGCTATTTTATGAACAGAATTTGTCACCCAGAACGCACCCCAAAATCCAGGAAATTTGGCCCTAAACCCTAAATGCGCCTGCTGCTGGAACTGGTGGCGCTGGTGGGCGCGAGTTTTTTTGAGTTTTTTTGGGTTTTCCGCGGTCAGGCGCCAGTTCCGTTTGTAGTTTAGGCCCAGAGATCGGCCCTCCGGCCTAATAAAAACGCTATTTTATGACCAGAATTTGTCACCCAGAACGCCCACCCCAAAATCCAGGAAATTTGGCCCTAAACCCTAGATGGGCCTGCTGCTGGCACTGGTGGCACTGGTGGGCCCGAGTTTTTTTGAGTTTTTTTGGGTTTTCCGCGGTCAGGCACCAGCTCGTGAGCTTGCTTCGTGTGCGGGGCGCGTTTTTGAGAATCCTAAATTGCTGGTTTTTTTTTGAGTTTTTGTTGAATTTGCAGGTTCTTTTGAGTTTTCCTGACACCCAAACTCAAACCCCAAATTTACAAACCCAACCATATACCATATTATAACACTTAACACCCAAAATTGTAGCACTAAAACAACATGAACACCAAAACAAAAAAAGTGTGTAGGGGGGTTGTTGTTTCTAACAAAAGAAAGAGCCCAAATAAATTATTGTTTAATACTTTTCGTTTTGCGTTGCCTCAAACCCTAATGTCTAAATTTCAAACCCTCAAAACCTTAATGCCTAAACCCAAACCCACACATGCATCGTGAGAAAAAATCGATTGAGGGTTTTCAACATTCTAGAAATTTTGGCCAATCATAGAAGCTCTAAGAAGGTGTTTGGGTTTATTTTTTGGGTTTAGGGGGGCGGACTGGGTGGGGGGGGGAGGGTGGGGTGGCCGGGGGGGGCGGGGTTCGGCCGGGGGGGCGGGGCACGGCAGAGATTAGGGAAAAAGAAAGAAAAAGCAGGGGGCTGGGGGCGGGGGGGGGCGGGGGGGGCGGCCTTGCCTGTCCTTTCAGAGGCTAGCAAGGGTCTGGGCCGCCCAATACAACCCAGTACAGCCCTGTCAGATCCTTCCAAGAGGAACTTCACCAACCCACAGAGGGGGCTTTGCCTGCCCTTTCAAAGGCTGTGTTTGTTTTGGGTTTTCCTTTTTTTAGTTTCCCGACAAAATAACGAAATAGGGAAATAAGGAAATTAGGACATAGGGAAATAGGGAAACAGGGGAACAACGAAAATAGCGGAATAAGAGAATAAGAAAACAGGGAAAAGGGTGACCTAAGTTCAATATTCTATACCCTAAATCTCGTATTAGTATTGGTATTTGTAGATTTGGTTCAATTTACTTAAACTCGATTGCATTTTGGTGGTGGTGGTGGCGGAATATTTAATTCAATTTACTTAAACTCGATTGCAACAACTTGTGTAAGCGGCTATGCATATCCAAGGATATGATTTTAAGTGTATTTGCTTCAATTTGAAAAGAATGTAATGGAATACCACGCACGGTGTAGCACATAAAGCTCAATTTGGACAGCGCCTTGCTCTCAGGAGAGGGGGAGCCCATCCAAAATTTGGATAGCGCCTTGCTCTTAGGAGAGGAGGGATCCTATCCAAATTTGGATAGCGCCTTGCTCTCAGGAGAAAAGGGAGCTTATCCAAAACTTGGCTAGCGCCTTGCTCTCAGGAGAGGAGGGAGCCTATCCAAAATTTTGATAGCGCCTTGCTAGGGGGGCTATCCAAAATTTGGATAGCGCCTTGCTCTCAGGAGAGGAGGGAGCCTTTCCAAAATTTGGATAGAGCCTTGCTCTCAGGAGAGGAGGAAGCCCATCCAAAATTTGGATAGCGCCTTGCTCTCAGATCACTGACAGAAGAGGAGGCTTCCAGAAGAGGAGGGAGCCTATCCAAAATTTGGATAGCGCCTTGGTTTGAGGAAAGGAGCCTATCCAAAATTTGGATAGCGCCTTGCTCTCAGGAGAGGAGGGAGCCTATCCAAAATTTGGATAGCGCCTTGCTCTCAGGAGAGGAGGGAGCCTATCCAAAATTTGGATCGCCTTGCTCTCAAGAGAGGAGGGAGCTTATCCAATATTTGGATAGCGCCTTGCTCTCAGGAGAGGAGGGACCCTATCCAAAATTTGGATAGCGCCTTGCTCTCAGGAGAGGAGGGAGCCTATCCAAAATTTGGATAGCGCCTTGCTCTCAGGAGAGGAGGGAGCGTATCCAAATTTTGGGTAGCGCCTTGCTCTCAGGAGAGGAGGGAGCCTATCCCAAATTTGGATAGCGCCTTGCTTTTTAGGAGAGGAGGGAGCCTATCCAAAATTTGGATAGCGCCTTGCTCTCAGGAGAGGAGGGAGCCTATCCAAAATTTCGATAGCGCCTTGCTCTCAGGGGAGGAGGGAGCCTATCCAAAATTTGGAAACCGCCTTGCTTCCAGGAGAGGAGGGAGCCTATCCAAAATTTGGATAGCGCCTTGCTCTCACGAGAGGAGGGAGCCCATCCTCTCCTAAAAACCAAGGCGCTATCCAAATTTTGGATAGGCTCCCTCCTCTCCTGAGAGCAAGGCGCTACCCAAAATTTGGATACGCTCAGGCGCTATCCAAGTTTTGGATAGGCTCCCTCCTCTCCTGAGAGCAAGGCGCTATCCAAATTTTGGATAGGCTCCCTCCTCTCCTGAGAGCAAGGCACTATCCAAATTTTGGATAGGCTCCTCTCCTCAAAGCAAGGCGCTATCCAAATTTTGGATAGGCTCCCTTCGCCCTCCTCTTCTGGAAGCCTCCTCTTCTGTCATTGTTCTGAGAGCAAGGTGCTATCCAAATTTTGGATGGGCTCCCTCCTCTCCTGAGAGCAAGGCTCTATCTAAATTTTGGATGGGCTCCCTCCTCTCCTGAGAGCAAGGCTCTATCCAAATTTTGGAAAGGCTCCCTCCTCTCCTGAGAGCAAGACGCTATCCAAATTTTGGATAGGCTCCCTCCTCCCCTGAGAGCAAGGCGCTATCCAAATTTTGGATAGGCTCCTCTCCTCAACCCAAGGCGCTATCCAAATTTTGGATAGGCTCCCTCCTCTTCGGAGAGCCTCCTCTTCTATCATTGTTCTGAGAGCAAGGCGCGATCCAAATTTTAGATGGGCTCCCTCCTCTCCTGAGAGCAAGGCGCTATCCAAAATTTGGCTAGGCTCCTCCCTCCTCTCCTGAGAGCAATGCGCTATCCAAATTTTGGATAGGCTCCCTCTTCTCCTGAGAGCAAGGCGCTATCCAAATTTTGGAAAGGCTCCTTCCTCTCCTGAGAGCAAGGCGCTATCCAAATTTTGGATAGGCTCCCTCCTCTCCTGAGATCAAAGCGTTATCCAAATGTTGGATAGGCTCCCTCCTGTCCTGAGAGCCAGACGCTATCCAAATTTTGGATAGGCTCCCTCCTCTCCTGAGAACAAGGCGCTATCCAAATTTTGGATTGTAGGCTCCCTCCCTTCTTAAGAGCAAGGCACTATCTAAATTTTGGATAGGCTCCCTCCTTTCCTGGGAACAAGGCGCTATCCAAATTTTAGATAGGCTCCCTCCTCTCCTGAGAGCAAGGCGCTATCCAAATTTTGGATAGGCTCCCTCCTCTCCTAAAAACCAAGGCGCTATCCAAATTTTGGATAGGCTCCCTCCTCTCCTGAGAGCAAGGCGCTACCCAAAATTTGGATACGCTCAGGCACTATCCAAATTTTGGATAGGCTCCCTCCTCTCCTGAGAGCAAGGCGCTATCGAAATTTTGGATAAGCTCCCTCCTCTCCTGAGAGCAAGGCGCTATCCAAATTTTGGATAGGCTCCCTCCTCTCCTGAGAGCAAGGCGTTATCCAAATTTTGGATAGGCTCCCTCCTTTCCTGAGAGCAAGGCGCTATCCAAATTTTGGATAGGCTTTCTCTTCTCCTAATATAGTGCAAAAAAAATCCCGATGAAGTTATCGATCTTTTGACGGAACAAGAAATGCCGATGATTCTTGTGGAGCAAAAAATATTCCGGTGAGGTTACCCTAAACCCTAAAATCCGATCAAGTTATCGATCTTCTTAGGTAGGAAAAATTTCCGGAATTCCCGATTAAGATCTCAATGCTCTTTCTGGGAGCCGATGAAATCATCCTTATTCCAAGAAATATTTGTATATTCTGTAAATTATTTACAAATTTGTACTATGCTCGACATCGCTCCACTCATTTGTCAGCCGCTTTCATCGCTTCTTCTTCGCTCGCACACCGGCCACACGGTTGAGCCTCGGGGGAGCACCGATGCAGAACACAGGGTTTGCGGCTTCAAAGTTCTATTCAGATGCTGTCCCAGCAGCCGAGGCATCAGTCTTTTCATAGCCCGAAGCCTGCACTTGCAAGCAACGATTTCAAGCAGTACTTAAGCCAAGAACCCGAGAGCCGTCCTCAATTTGGCGCATCTCATGAGATGCAAATTGCGATGCCGGACATGTGCTTTCAAGCAGATACCTGAGTATCGGGCCCAGGGCATGAATTTCAGGCATTGCAACACATCACTGAATTTCACAGTCGACCGAGGCACGTTTGAGTAGGCCCATGCTGTCCTCGTCGACATAGCAATGAAACATTCGCGGATTTGTTCCTCAGCTCACCCTTGTAGTGAATCAGCGAGCTAGCATGCAGCAGGCAGACGAAGCCTGAAATTCATGCGTACATATATATACATGTACATGCGAAGGGATGGTTCAACAGCCAAGCAACTGTACCTTTTCAGGTCCATCAGAAAATGAGTCAAGACCTGGCAAGTCGCGAAAAGTTGTTTGGGCAAGCAAGGCTTCACGTCACGATTTTCCTCAGCAGACGTGAGAACAAAGATCAACAATGGCCGAGGGGCGTGTAGTTTTGGTCGGAGCAGAAACTCCTGCTTCTGCAGCCTGCGGAGGTTGATATTCTACCTTTTGTGGCATCGAATTTTATTGGGTGCTTTACATGTCCTGTTCTAAGTGTCACCAATGCGGAGTATGACTAGAATTGGATTGACATGGAAACTGGCCGGGATATAAGGCTGATTATGCGTGTATTAGACACGGCGTTGAAAGACAGCGGCCTGTGCAGCAGTCTACTTCAACCGTCCCTTGATCGGCCTCAAGCTCATTCTGGTCAGAGCTCCGAAGTGATTGAAGAAGTTCTTCCCGGACTCGAAGAGATTTGTAGCATCGGTGTCTGACCTGAGTCGTAACTTACTTCGGATATTCGAACCCCTAGCATATTCATTTGAGTAGGAACTTGACAAACTTAAGCACTTCTTTTCAAGCCGCCGTCGCTCATCTCACATGCAGCTACAGGAGAAGCCACATTGTTTAGGCTATTAAGGCAAATCGATCATTATTTAGTGTGTATACATGCATGCTCACATACCACACATGCACATATCCACCCCGAAGTCCCAGCCACAAGTATCTCGGAGCTCGCTCCATGTGGCCAAAGAATTTGGCCATTTCCGTCCTGGGCGATGGGATTGATATTGAGACTTGCTTGCAACGGGGTACATGGTAGTAAGGCTGTTCCTTACTATCAGGCTCCATACGAACTAACGTTTCAAGTATTTTTATTGCTCCATCTGTCGCAACCAATACTAGCGTTTTAGATTTGTATAACTGTGCATATGTATACATGTACACTAGCTATATTCTACACTGTGCGAAAATTGTTTCAGTCAAGCGAGGTTCCTTGAGGTAGTAGAACTGCTACATAATACATCCACCAGGTAACGTTTCAGAACTAGTTATTAATTCGTTTCAGCGGTTGAAAATCCTAGCTAGGCACTAGCTAGGTTTTTTGCAAGTTTAGGACATCAAGTTTTGTACACACGGCGAGTTTCAGGGCCATGGCCATGCAAGGGATTCGCTCATCCTTGTAGTTGCCGGCAGCATGATGCAGTCTCAAGCACTCTGCCAACCATTCCAGGAAAATTCTGTTGTTGTGAGCTTTTCCAGTGAATAAAACATCGCCGTTCGCTTTGCAAACCTCAGCGGAGTCATTGTGGTTTGAAAAGATCAAAACACGTGTACTGCCATAGGGTACACATATGATATATACAGTACTGTACATAGTAATACCAAGTTTAAAAGAAACCTAGCAGTTGAAGCGGTTAATAAACAACAAACAAATATATCCCACATATATATATATATATACATATACATTATTTTTCAAGCTTATGTAAGACCCTATATAAGCCTAGCTTTAATTAATATACCGAAAATGGATGCCTGCATGGGCACTCCTTGCAAATGGCGCTTTCGCACAGGTGTAGAAGAAGCGTGCTGGCCTGTTTAAGCCAAGGGTCTAACTTCTCCGTAAACAAGGGCTGGCTGCAAGAGATCTTCTTCCGCTTGCACCATGCTTTGAAGTCAGCATAGGCTCCAGCGAACATGCCATTCACAGACTCCTGCACCGGCCCCCAGTAGCCCTCTTGGCAAAGAATCATCCTCGCAGGGGCATACTTCAAAATTAAACCGATGATCGATGCTCAAAGTCTTGGGCTTGAATCAAGATTTAGGAAGGAGTACCTCAACCATGGTTGAACAGCTGCAGTGAAAAGCTTAGCTGTTCTCTCCGGGATTTCTAGCATAGGCTGCATACTAGTATTCTTGTCGGAAGGCCACCAGAAGAATTCGCAGTACTTGCCAGAATGCATGTTATACTGCAGCTTCATAATACGTACACAACATATCGGCAGGGTGCCCAGACTTAATAAACGAACCATTCGGGTCCTCTGGCTCGTATATGGCCTCTGCCGATGCATTCCAGAAGTCGTCCGGGAGCTGAAGCAATCCTTCGGACGTGTTGTTGATTTAATACGGTGTGTATGGGAATCTTCGTGCATGACTGCTGCAAAGTAGGGTCCTTCTTTGTGCGCTAGCGACACACACCGCAAAGAGCATGTGGCCAACATCTTGGCAGCCATGTTTTTTGAAAGGGTCACTATACCACTAGACACACCTATAGGAGGATCTTCGAGCACTGAAGGTGCAGCTGCAGATCACTTTCAGCTACAGCATATGCACTGCTCCACGATGCAAAGCTGAAGTGCTCATGATGCATGATGCAGGGCTGGGATGGCGGGCGCACCGACCCTTCGAGAAGGGACAAGTCCATCAAATCGCCCCCAAAAGGGCAAGTAAGAAGCTGGAAGAGCCAGTCACACCACGGATCTGAGGTCCGAACGATCATCTTCACAATCGGTCCTAACTTATTATATATTACATATATTATATTAGTAGAAAGCCGGAAAGAGCATCCCAGAGTACCTATAAAGAATCTTGTACCATGCCTTAACAACCACTTTGACATCCTCTAAAGAGGCTGTCCAACCCCTTCAAAACCTCTTAAAACCCTTCAAAAGCCAATTAACGCAATATTACCTTTTTCGGGGTTTTACCGGCTATAACCATTTATTTTGAATCTATAGGTTATTCGGCTACCCTAGGGTTGTACAGGTACTTGGCAAGTAAGTAGGTATCGGGCTCCACCCAACCTTTGCCACAGCCGCGCGTAGCTTTCCCCTTCCACAGCCGGGCATACTCCACGGGTTGAACAGGTCATTTGTCGCTTGAGAAAAACCGATGGTGGCTCCCTTGGCGTTGACGCCTGAAGGTAGACTGTTGTTGATGTGATGGGGAATCAGGCCGCAAAGTTTGGTCTGGGGGATTCAAAATTCATTTTTACAGTCTGTGGTTGCAGCTCAGGAAAGACGTCCCATGCGGGGCAGCGAAGGATTAGTCGGGGGCTGCTGTCCAAAACAACCGTCTGCTGCAGACGCGTTTGATTTTACAACGCTGCAGAAAGAACCTCTTTCTCCTGCGACCCCTGCCCCTTTTTTAATAACAATATCCATGAGCATTTCGAGGTCATGGAACGCCCAAAAGTCACAAGCAACAGCGTTAACTGACTTAGCAACGTGCAGCTGTATGCCTGCCGCCATGCGAGTTTGACTCTTCCACGGTTGCGATCCTGGGGCTGGACAGGAACGAACCACTGACGATTGGCGAAGGCCACGAAGGTACTGGATAAGGCAATTACAGAGACTTCTGCCGCCCCGAAAAGCATTTGATGTTGTAGAATACGGCAGGGCTGGCCACAAAGTCTGAATCAAGATTGCATGTCACAGCTTCGGGTTCGGAAACGCAAAGGTACAAAAGACTTCAGGTACAAGTTGGTACAAGTCAACACATCCTGGCACCCGCCCTGCTCTTAGCAGGTAAGAGCTGCCACATGCTCCGCAGTTTTTCTTCGCTCCTGCTTTTGCGACGCAGCCTTGCATGCACGATTTTAGCCCCTTGGGGCCACAAATGCCAGTGCCAAATCAACGAACTGCCAAGGTTGCTCCTGTTAACAGCAGGCTTCGTGTGATTAGTAATTCGGCACTGGCACAAGAACCAGCTGAAAAATAGCATCAGCCGCGCATCTCCCTCGAGAGGAGCCTCGGACCAGTGGCCACGCTCAAAGTGAAAGTGCAGCCAACCACACTTGAAATGCAACCCCATGTATACAGAGGTCTCTGGCACGCAGTAAACTAGCGACAGTCCTGGAACCCTGAGTTGGCGGCTCAAGGGTGCGGTGGTATTTTTCACCCTTGGAGAGAGGCCAGTCCCAAGTGGCCTTCAAGCATTCGGAAGCAAGCTCTGGCAAGCACAGCTTCTGAAAAGTGCCACGTAACGGTACAAGCCTGGAAGCGCCAGCGGTCGGTAATCTTCATGCTGGCATGGCTCATCCGCATCGTGAGCAGCTGCTCGGCCTGCTCACATCTTTCAGCACGACATCTCAGAAGGCATAATTTGTACGGCATGACGATTGTAGTGTTTGAACCCTTGTCTACAATATGCTTCCCATATGTAAGGTGCACAACTCCGGTACCGCTTTGTTGTGAGGATTTCGAAGTTGACACCGGGACCGTCAGCCATCACTCTCAAGCTCCAGACAAACCCTATACTACGCCCAAAGCAACAACCGGTATTGTTACGAGGAGAGATTCCGCTGCAAGCTGTCTGACAAGGCAGACTTCGATCTTTGCCCTTACCTAGCTTTAAAGTAAGACACGCCGCTGGAAGATGGCCCATGCCTTGGAAAGTGGGACCTCGTAATATCCCAGCGTTGTCGCCAGCAACCGCCAGGAGTGCGCCTGCTTAAGAGGAAGGCCAGCCAGCGCGCAACACAAAGCCCAGGTCTTCTTATTCACTTACATTCCTGGACGACGAACTATTGCTGCAGGAAGCCGAGCCTCTTGAAGCCCCCAGAGCCGCTTGCTCATGCGCGGGCGGTCCAGGCAAGGGATCTTCAAGCTGGAGTTTGCCAGAAAAATCATCCTGGAAGCTCTCAGCTGCTGGAAAACACTGCAGCAGCATGGCATTGCTTGAGTCTGGATGAACAACATACCAACATTGCGCATGCAGATGGTCGAGGCTTGTACTTGCGGGCGTTGCCCGTGAGGAGATCCACCTGTGTCATGCCTTAGGTGCTCGGCTGGCGGAAAGCAACCATGCTGGTCCAACAGTGGCGAGTGCCGTGCCAAGTAAAGACAGGCCGTGCAAATTGAAATTCGTCCCGTCTCAATGCTTCAAGACATTTGCGAGCGATGGGTCAACAAGCAGACCTGGTTATCTCACGGGAACCCCCCAGCAAAAAAAGATATACTCCCCTGGAGACCATAATCTCCGACAAGACAACACACTCGAAAAAAGGCATGCGCCGCGTGACAAATGCAACTTAGCGGCGAGACACGTCAAAAAACATCAAGGTGGTCCCCTGCCCCTTCGGATACGCCGCGGGGGCCTCGAAATGCCGGACTCCACCGCGCAAGGCGAAGCACACATATGCACACATGTCATATCTTTCTCAGCCTGCGACATACCCGAACAGGAGCGTTGGATGATTCAGCACAGCATCCAGAATCAGCTGGATATCTGGCAAGTGGCAGTCGCGATGTATATCAGGTTGCTACTTGTTCATTCTCACATGCACTCAGGTTGCAACAAGCTGGGAATGCGCGCCACCCGGACTTGTGCTCCCAGGCCCACATTCCTGCCTTAGCTGCAGACATCAAGCCGGCAACGCGCAAGGTTCATGGATATGGAACATACAGGCTTCCAGTACTAAGGTGACAGCAGAGAAACAAATTCAAAGGACTGCGAGCAAGAGCCAGAAAAGAAAGCTGCGGAAGACCAAGCAAGTCCGAGGTCTTACAGCATCATGCCTTCATATTTCTATTGGCTTTCCTTGAGAATCCAAAACCTGCTTTAAAGCAGGTTGGGATGGTAACACAATGGTTTTTAGAGGATTTCTGCTAAACTCCTGGTTGTTCGCAAACCAGGCCATTGCTGAAAGCCTATTTGGGGGTGAGAACCTGTCCCACCTTTATTTACCCTATATAAAGCCCTGCCAAGCCTGCTTTGGGAAGGCTAGGAAGAGGGTTTGTCAAGTCCTGCATAAGTGGGCCACCTACT